TGCCAGACCTCTCTGGCCCTCAGGCTCCGGTTCTCGAAGGCTGGGGATGTGTTCCCAGGCTCCCAGAGTTGAGGGGTCGAAGTCTCCGAACAGGAGTGGTCAGTGCACTATGCGTCCGAGGTTTATTGCTGCTCCCGTTCGTATAAACAGGTGGCCCCTTAGCTTTATATTCCCTGCTCATCTTTATTTCTCCCTGGGAAAAACATCAAATGTCTGGTGGAGAATGGCAGCCCGTGCCAGGACGTGTTAGGGACGCTGTTAATGAGAGTGTGAAGGCCAGCGCTCCAGGGCACACCGGCGGGAGGGCTCAGCTGCCGGCGAACAGCATTGGAACCGAGTTAAGGCGAGGAAATTCCATTAAGGACTTGGGTTGGTGTTTTTCTGGGGAGATCTGATCTTTGGAAAGATTCAGTGGGTGCATTAACATAGGATGAGCTGGTGGCAGAGATGCCAGCCTTATCTCTGAACGCCGGAGAACAGACAGAAATATTAACGTGTGGCTGCAGGGGCCGCTCCTGACAGGATGATTTCATTTCACACTTAGCTGTTTCGCCTGTGTTCCTAGAGTTCCGGGAGCAATATGTCATTAAAAACCCACGTGAGGCGATTCTACGGCAGAGTTGCGAACAGACGCTTTTTATTGAGCATGTACTGTGCACTGGGCTGTCACAACGGCTGTGTTCCTGTTTACAAGCCTGTGAGGCTGGGAGTCGCATGCCCATTTCCTAAAAGGAACCTGGGGCTCAGAGAGGTTGTGCGATGTCCTTAGGGTCACACAGTCCGTAAAAGGCAGCTAGAATCACGGGCTTCCGCCCCTGCGTGCCGGAGCCTCCGTGCCCCTCTCTTAGTTTGCAGATGGAGTCCTCCTGCTCCTGCTGATTGGACAGCTGGAAGGCTTCTTCCTCCACCTGAAGGAATTCTTCCTCACTCCCAGCTCTCCTGCAGAAATGGTGAGTCTTCCGGGGCTTTCCTGCAGGGTGGACCTCAGAGTGGACAGATCTGGGCATCAGGGCACCAGCGCATATTCTCCTACAGTGAAGTGAAGTGAGGAGTCAGTTTCCCCAAGTGTCTATTCATCCACCCACTCGCCCCCCATCCAACTGTCCATCCACCCGGCTGCGGGCTGGCAGGCCCTCCGCAGTGCCCGGGCTGAGGCGGAGGGAGGGACGGCTTCTGTGCGGGGCGGTGCCCGCAGCCCGCACGGGTGCTGGGTCCTGGAGGACCAGCACGCCAGAGGAGCCCGGCCTGTGCGCGTCCGAGGATGCGCAGTCCGGAGTGCCACCCACCACGCGGTGTAGACAAAGGAACGGAGGCTCAGAGAGGGCACACAGCCAGGGAGCCGCAGCAACCCAGACACAGGCGTATTTTGTTCAGGGCTGCTTAGCCTGAGAAATGCTTGTGCAAGCCGATGTTTCCTTTGGCGGGAGGGTAGCAGCACGCTGACTCGTTGTTTGTCGGCTTGACCTGCAGGGGACATCTTTGATGAATTATTTGCGGCAACTCCAGAGAAAGTGAGCGCTGTGAAAGAGGTAAGAGAGATCAAAGCCTGGGCCTCCACGCACACCTGCCCGGCACACCTGCCCGGCACACCTGCCCGGCCCTCCAGCGAGCACCTGCAGTCGAGGTGGGGGAGGGGCCCTGGCTCTGCACCTGTCCTGGGTGTGGAGTCCGGAAGTCCCACACCCGAGCCTCCCTCCCACCTGCCATCCGCTCATCTTCCCCTAGGCTATGCTGAGCTTTGTCAACCAGAAGCTGGAGCGCCTGGGCCTGTCTGTGCAGGATCTGGACACCCAGGTAAGCCACACCCCCAGGCCCGGGCCTGCGCGGCAAAGTCCCCGTTAGGTACCAGCCCGGCACACGTGGTTTTCTCCACATCAGGCCGGGAATCCTCCCAGCAGGCCCCATTTTACAGATAAGGACAGTAAGACCCAGAGAAGTCAATCCGCTTATCCAAGGCCACACAGCAATTAAGTGAGGG